CATCTACAAAGAGGCTTGACTGCCACAGCATCTGTGGCTATGCTGAGAGTGTTTTGATTTGCCTTCGTTTCTAAGAAAAAAATAATTTTCAGGAGAATATTCTTCTGATAGTTTTGTCATTGAACTTAATAAACTGACCTTAAAATCTCAAAAAGAAATGATTTATTATTCATTTATTTTTTAAAATTTGAACAGAGAGAGAGGGAAAGAAAGAAAACAAGTCACCGGGTCCAGGACTCAAACCACAGTTGGCCATGTGGGAGTCCAAGGCTTTAACCACCACACCACCTGTCAGCCTCATAAGTGCAGTTGTTTAAATAATTATTTAATTGTATTTATTACTGTTATTCTTTTCAATTTGCTACAGGGCATGTGAGCTTACCAGAGAGAGAGAGAGAGAGAAAGAGAGAGAGAGAAAGTAAGAGAGCACGCTGTCAGGTCCAGGACTCGAACCGCAGTCAGCCATGTGGGAGCCCAGCATCTTAACTACCATGTCACCTGCTGACCCCGATAAGTGCAGTTTAAATTGAATAATTCTTTACTGATTTTCTGTCTAGACGATCTGTCCAATGCTGAGAACAAGGTGTTGAAGTCCCCAATTATTATTTTATTGGGGTCACTCTCCCTTTAGATCTAAAAATGTTTGCTTTCTTTATTTGGGTACCCCAGTGTTTGTTGCATATGTATTTACAACTGTTATATCCTCTTGTTGAACTGATCCCTTTATCATCTTATAATGACCCTCTTTATCTTTTAAAAAAAGTTTTGCCAGAGAGTGCACACACTCGGCAGAGACAGAGAGGGAGAAGGAGAAAACCCACCTCCCCCAACAATGGGGCAAACACTCTAGCTAACTATTGTTTCCTCCTCTTTGTTTTGGTCTTTTTATTGTTGGTTGGCCATCTTGTCAGAAGTTCTCTCAGATGGGACTAGCAGTTAGGCTATGTCACTGGACTCCCAGGTAGTCGACCACGGTTCGTGTCCCAGACCCAGTGGCTTAAAACTCACACCGGGCACGTGTGCGTGCCCAAGATCCCAAGAGGAGAATGGAGGAGAAGGGATTGCGGCATGACCATCCCCCCTGGGGGGTGATTTCTTGCTTTCTGTCTCTCTGTCTCTGTCTGTCTGGCGAGCACTCCCGTTATCAAAAACCTCCCTCAAAAAAAAAAAAAAAAAAAAAGAAGTTCTCTCGGAGACATTTTAACTACAAATTGGCACTGGGATGGATCTGCAGTCTAAACCTACTAATTAACTAAACAGTGGTGGTGATAAGGAAGCCAGAAAATCAAAAACACCTTACAATTTGATTAAGTGTCTCAGCCTTGTAGCACTCCCGAGAGGCCTGGCATATGCAAAAAAAAAAAATCTTTGTTGGAATCTACCTTC